GATGAGGAGGAGGAGGAGGAGGAGGAGGAGGAGGAGGAGAAGGAGGAGGATGACGATGATTCATTGACTGATTCATTTACTGGTTGATTTTAGTACATGCTCGTGTTAGCAGTCGTGAGTTGTGTGTATGTTTATGCAACAAGAGCAGCACAGAACACAATACGTTGCGAGCACATTCAGCAAACACAGGAAATGACACACACACACACACAGAGTAAGAAGAAGCAGGTATCAAATTTGCACGGTATGCCAAGGTACCAACGTACTCAAAGGTCAATGGTCAAAGGTCAAAAGGGTAAAAGTCAGCAGAACCACGTCGGGACATTGAAGGCAATGATAATTAAACTAAACCAAACGAAACAGAACTATAACGTGTTGACGTAAACTCTTTAAAAGAGCAAGGATGAACTCATAGGTGAACACAGAAAGCCAAGGAGGAACAATTAAGACATACTGATGGAGGAGAAAAGGGGACGTCGCATCTTGGAACAGCTTGAAGAGCGTGCTCAGAAATTATGTTTGGAAAGGCACTGCGCAAAATCTAAGATTAATAAATGCCTGAGAAACATCACATATGTATGGGGATGCTAATTAAATACTTGAAAACAGTTATCTAGCCATCACTATTCTCTATTCTAAAAAAAGAATAACATTTTATTACATATTTGTGATTTTATTTTCGGTGAGTGTTTTACGACGTTTGCAACTGCGTACTTATGCATGTATTTTTATCATTGTGACCCATATTTCACTCACAGGGATCAATAAAGTGCCATTTTTTATCCTGTTTCTTAAGAACACAGTGCTGTACTATGAACAGTTGACTTACACAACGAGTTCTTGGGTGGTTGGCGGGTGCTCTGCTGTGGTGTGCTTCTTCTTTCCTATCAAAAATCTATCGTCCTTATCCCCCCCTTCTTCTTTTCTTATGTTTGTTACTCCCTTGTAACACCTCTAATCTTCTGGCGCTCATATGACCTAATGCAGTTGCGAGCGCCGTAAAACGTCTACTAAAACTAAACTAAAAACAACGAGATCAGCCTATTAAATTGAAGTGAAACTGGTTTAAGACCGATCTATATCTTCCTAGCCCCTACAGCTACGTCAAAACGTAACATTATACCGATGTCGTTTTTCGGGTAGTGATTAAGATCTAAATGCAAAATAGCTTGAATGTATCGAATATATATATATTTACAAGGGTGGGTGTGTGTGTATGTGTGTGTATGTGTGTGTGTGTGTGTGTGTGTGTGTGTGTGTGTGTGTGTAAGTAAGTGTTCGTGCGTGTGTGTGTGTTTGTGTGTGTGTATTTAGGTATGTATGTGTGTG